CCTCTCTCTCTCTCTCTCTCTCTCTCTCTCTCTTTGTATTAGTATGTAAGCAATTGATCTCACAGGTGTGCATAGTTTGCTTGTTTTACAGGGCGAAGCAGTTTGTTCTGCAGCCTGTGAATTTTGCTCTTTTTGTTTGTTTGTTTGTTTGTTTTTGCGGCAAAAAGCTGCGAGGGCGTGACTAAGAGACAGTGGACGATGTACGGTCGCACGAGCTACGGCGGCAACTCCCTCATTCAGCAGACCCTACCCGCGTTTTTCCTATACTTCACTCCCTTCCTGGTTATTCTTGCCTTTGCAGTCGTGGCGCTTCTCTTTGTTCCTTTGGGCATCATCTCCATTCTCGTTGGTGACCGCTACTACGAGGTGCGGCAGAACTACAACGAGATCCATCAGTACCAGTACCTTCCAACAGACCCCAGCGTCAACGTGAATGAGGGCATTCGCGCCTTTAAAGTGGGGAACGTCATACACCGGCAGGGTACCCGCACACGCGTGAAGCTGGAGGTGCGGGAGACGCTAAAGGCGCCGGTGTATTTATACTACACGCTGGGAAATTTTTTTCAGAACTTTAGGGATTTTCATGACGGGGCCTCGCGCAACATGCTGCGCGGGAAGGATCATCATGGCGATACACACAAGGAGTGCGAGCCCTTTCGAAAACCCGGGTTTCTCAACGGTGAGCAGCACAAGGAAGTAAAGGTTGAGGTGGATGGCGTAGCACATGTGCTACGGTACGGGGATTTTACTTACAACCCGTGTGGAATGGCGCCATGGTCAATGTTCAACGACACTTTTGTTCTCTACCGCGTGGAGGCCCCGGCGAGTGATTTCCCACAGTCGGCCGACAAACTTGTGATGATCTGCAACTCCAGCGATTTTGGTCCCACCGGCAATCCCCTGGGCCAGAGTGTCTCACGCAACTACTGCCGCAAGCATGGAATCTCGTGGAAAGCCGATACGGAAATACGATTCAAACCCCTACACACAAGTATGCGGCACTGGTCACTGCGCTACCCCTACCCAAACGATGATGTCTACCTCACAAATGGATGGTATGCGAATGAGCCCGGTCACAGTCTAACAGATCCAGCGGACTACGACCTGCATGTGTGGCTGCGCCGTTCGGTGTTGCCTAACTTTCGCAAGCTGCTTCGAATTATTGATGTGGACCTAGAGAAGGGAATGTATGTTATGGACATTGAGGAGTACTTTGACGTTACGACGTTTCGCGGCTCAAAAGGGTTTCTTCTCCGTACTCAATCGTGGCTAGGGAAGGATGGTCATGCACTTGGGATTGCTTTTCTCTCCGTAGGAGGGCTCGCCTTTGTGGTCGGAGCCACCTTCTCCATTGAGTTCCTTCTGCGACGCCACAAGGATGCGCGGCCGCTGCCAGAACCCAAAGCCCGGTGGTACATATTTGACCCCAAAAGTGTGGAGATGCGGGTATACTATGAACAGCTAACAAGGCGCTGTAATCAGTGAGAGATAGCTCAGGGAATGAAACATGGTGGCCTTCACCATTGCCTCTTTCTTAGTCTTTTTTTTCCTTTTTTGGTTTTGTTATGTACCTCTTGATTTCGGTCCGCGGATGCACCTGAAATTGTGTTAGCTCAGTTCAGTGTTCAGTGAACACGCGGAGCCTCTCTCAATATCTCCTTCTGTCTGTGTGTCCGCTGGTGGCAAAGGTTGGGGAAACGATTCCGCATGCAGCGACTCTCCTCACCTCAACTGTTCTTCCTTGCAAAGAGCAGCGAAGGAAGGAGAACAATAAACTCGTCTTTCCAGGCCCACTCACGCTCATGTGTTAGACCTGTTGCTGTGCTTTGCGACGGGCAATACGCGTCTCTGGGGAGGGAGGGTTGGGAAAGCGTCATCTCCACCACCAGTCACACGCACCGCACCCACGTCTTACGGGGAGACGAAGGCTGTGAAACGGGAGGGGGGAAAACACGTTGGCCCCATGCCTTACACGGACGCCAGCGTCGGAGCAGAGTGCAATAAAACAACGGAAACATGGAAAAGAAAAAAAAAAGATACGTGAAATACCGCCGTCGGGGGCAATGGGGAAAATAGACGCTTGCAGCAGGGGGGACCCTGTGAGAATAGACGAGCGCCGATTATCAAAGGACTGCTTTTTCTCTGGGCAACCTCCCCAACCGCAGTGAGAAGAGACATTCTGCGGAAGGGTCTTCCTCATTAGCTTGGAGCGAAAGAGATCCCTGCGACGGCGGACTCCCCAGCCTCAGCACAGCCACTGTAGACATCGTCTGTGTTCAAATTGTCTCCACAGCCAAATCTATCGCGTATTATTTTGCTTTTTTTAACGCACTGTGACGCTCACGAAGAGAAAACACCACTAAACGCAACCACAAAAATGTCCACTGGCATTCAACATGGAGCATGAAGAGGGGTCATTACGACCGCATATTTTTTCCCTTTCCAGCACTGGCGGGCATTCTTCATTACAGCAAAAACTTTCTGCTGCGCGATTTGCTGCGTCTGCCTGTCACTCACGTTCCTCTGCCGTCCCATTCTCTCTCCCATTTTTTGTTGGTCTTTCTCTCTTGTGCCGCGCAGCTGCTCTGCAGGTATATACGCTAACACACACACGCCATGTCACTCACGCTGTGGAGCGGCGTGAACCCTGAGAACGCGCGCACGCTCAAGATTCTTGTGGCGGCGGCCCTCGCCAACGTGCCCGTGACACTCAAGCCGTGCGAGTACGGCCGCGAGAACGAGACGGCGGAGTACTGCCGCAACTGCAGCCCGTGCGGCCGCTACCCCGCGCTGCAGACGGAGGAGGGCTGCATCTTCGAGTCCAACGCCATCCTGCGGCACATCGCGCGCCTCGACCGGAGCGGCGGCTTCCTGTACGGCCGCACGCCGCTGGAGGGCAGCCAGGTGGACATGTGGCTCGACTTCGCGACGACGGAGCTGGACGCGGCCGTGACGCCGTTTGTGCTGCAGGCCTTCTGTGGCGAGCCGTTGCCCGCCGGCGCGATGGACCGTGTGCACGAGGCGCTGCAGGCGCTGGAGACGTGGCTGGAGACGCGTACGTTCC